AAATTAAAAGGTAAAGTTTCGATCCTAATTACTTACCCTTGATTGATTTGAAAATATCCTTTAAAAAAATCGAGAAATGTGTTAGATAAACAAGGTAAAGAAAACAAATAAGATAAAAAGGGAAAAATAAAATAAATAAAATAAATAAGTAAGATAAAAAAAAAATAGTAAAGTAATAATTATATATAGTAATATTAGATTTATAAGTAAAATATTAAAGAAATATATATATATAATAATAATAAAATATAGTAAAAAAATAAATGAAAATAATTTAATATATATATATATATACATATAATAATAATAACATGAATAATAAAAATAAATGAATAAAATATCCATATAATAAATAAAGGGACTAATATAGATTTTTAAAAAACTCTTCCCCTCCTTTAACCGAAAATCAAACCGGTTTTTAAAAATAAGCCTCGGGGTAGATCTAGGTTCGAAACTTCGAAACCCCACCCATTTTGGTCATCGGCGCAACCCACGTTTTGGGTTATTCGAACCAAATCTCAAGAAAAATAACGTGCTCATACAAAAGAAAGAAAAAAGAAAATGCTACATTTTATTTCCTTTTCGAATCCTTTACAATAGTTTTGCCTTTGTATCTTCCCGTGCTTTCCTCTATGTTTTGTGTGTAAATCGTGTGTTACAATGGTGAGTTACAATGGCTATTTATAGTGCTTGTGGATCCTATCTTTAGGAATTTAAATCTTAGTAGAATTCTATCCTATTTTTATGAGTTTGAATCCTAACAAAATTTTATCCTATTTTTAAGAGTTTGAATCTTACTAGGACGAAAATGTATGTTGACAAGATGAAGGAGGGGAGTGTCTCGGTACTCTCACTGAAGTTCGCCAACTCTAGGGCAGTGAACTAAATGGGGTAGGTAACCAACGGAAATTTTTTGTATCGTTAATCTGATGAGATTCTACAAATAGTAATTAAGGAGCAGCAGTTGGGAGAGATGGAGATACATAGTTATGAACATACGGGTCGATTCCCTTTATTAATTACGCTTCAGTGTTTGCAGTCTGTGGCCCTCTGATACTCCCAGGCTTGTTAGTGCAAAGATGAGAAGAAAAAAAAGAGAAAGGATTCAAAGGAGAATCCCATTGTGCGGACAAGGGTAGCCAGCAAGTTTAGTATTTTGAAAGAGAGAGGGAGAGAATATTAGGGGGATGGGTAGTGAACGTGAAGGTTGTGTTATTAAATGCTCTGGTCCTCGATGTGGCTTTTGGTAGCCCAGGGTTTTTAATGCACCACTCTCTCGTTTTTTGTCCTTAAATTAGATCCAACAAATTCCCATTTCTTCTCACCCCACTTCTCTTATCCCCCCCTGTCTTCTTCTTCTTCTTTGAAGTCACTGCTAGCAAGCTGTTTCTTTCAAATAAAACAAATCCATCATCTGTTTCGTCTTAACCTAAATGAACTGCATGTTATTCTCTAATATGGTTGAAATAGTCACTGCGATGTTGGCTCGGTTCACTCAGACAAAAAAACCATGCTCTAGCTTGCTGTGCTTTGATTGAGCCGTGCCAATATCCTTGTGCTTTTTCATCTCTTCTTCTGATTTATAAGGCAATCCATTTGGCGCCAAGCCAGCAACGTGATTGTAACTTTGTAAGGTACAATACTCTTCTGCATTCCCTTTCTTTTTTTTCTTCAGGTTCTTCCAACATTCTTCTCTCATCCTGTAAACCCAAAGAATATCTGGAGTTGGAAGTTGAAACTATAGTTCATTTACCTCTGAGGCTCTGACCTGACATCATGTTCTTGCTGATGAACAGAATCCATCTTCTACAAAAGGTGCTTTCTTCAATACTGTATCCTAGTTCATACGGGTGGAATATACACAAACCCTAGCTAGGTAAAATAGATTTTCCTCTAAAACATTGGGCATGGCGTAGGCCACAGCATAGGAGAAATCACCCACCTGATTTTTCAAACCAGTGGCATCTGAAAACACCAAAATCAGACATAAATTGTCTGGTTATGCAGTAATATGTTCTGATATACGTATTACGTACCTCGAGAGCCAGCATGCAGCAAACTATGAATGCGATGGAATTAAAATCCAAAACCATCATTTCTTGAAACTAAAGAAGACTCGGTTGTTATTGCAGACTCAAAGATGAGTTCATTCGTCAATAAAACACTCTACCCAGTGCAACCGATGCCGCATAATGACCAACTAGATTAATGTTTTGGCTATTAATTTTGTCGTGTTTACACAGGTTATAATTCTTTTACATTTAATGCAAGTACTACTTCCATTGATTTTTTCAACCTAAACTATTACTGCAGCAACAACATTTCCATTGATTACTTATATTAATAAAATGGATGTAGATTAACGCATTTCAAAAAATAAAGTATCCAATTTGAACGATAATTCAACGTGATGGGGATGCTTGGATTCAACATGTACCTCGCGAGGAAATTCACGTGGCGAATGCTTTGACAAAACTTTGTAGAGGACAACCCATAGGCGAAAGCCTATACGAGGCTCCACCCCTACGATCGAGCACATCGTTGTCCAAAAAAATCATGTGATCTGCTGATTAACCATGTTTCTGTTTATATAAAAAAAATTGAAGTATCCAAGCAATTATGTCTTTTATATATAATTTAAAGCACTATGTTCCTAAAAATTAAGGAGAAGGAACGTACATTGACAAAAGAGTTGCATAGTCTGAATGAAGCAAAGGAGTTAGTTGAGGATAGTTAATGCGAGGAATGGGGAGCGTTGGCCAATCTTTAATAAGAAGAGTAAATTATATAGGTAGGAGAATCTGTAGACATTTATTTAAAATCATCAAAGTATACAATCTAATCAATACACAATAAAAATGGAATTATAAGTTAAAATTCTCAACCGACAACTTAGAAAATCGAAAATACAAACAAACACAATTATCGACGTTGAATGGTACTTACTATCAACACTAATAAAAAATGATTATAAAAATAATAACACATTAATGATTAATTTTATCACGATTAAAACATGATTTATCTGCGATGATTGTAAACATATATCGATGAGAGAATCACTTTGAGGGATTAAATAGAGTTAAATCAATAAGTATCCAAATAAATACCGATTGGATTGGAAAGGTGGTGTTAAATCTAACATTGAAAAGGATAAAAGAATACTACAAAGGAAGAAAAATCATTTGTATTTTCGTTTAGAAAATGAGATATCTCATTAAATAAAATAATTCACATAAAAGTTCAAAAATGCAAAAGAAATAATAGAAGATAAAAGACAATACGAGAATTATAATAAAATACGGGTGATAATCATTTGGTCAAAGGTGAATAAGATTAATTTTAAATAATAAAAGGTAAAAAGAATAGAAAGAATAAGAGAAGTATTAAAAGAAAGGGTAAATTACACTTTTAGTATCTCAATTATCACTTTTATTTTATTTTGATCATTCAATTATTATTTTTATTTTAATATCATAAATAAAGTTGCGTGGTGATTTTATTTTAGTTACCTACTGTTAAAAATTAACTATGATAATGATGTGTAATTATAAGATAATACCGCGTCATCATTGATTTTTTTTTAAAAGTATTATTTCAATAATTTTATTAATTTTTTAACAATAAGTGACCAAAATGAAACTAAAACACAACGTTAGGCATAATTTTTAAAATAGAACAAAAGTGATATTTGGGGCACTAAATATGTAACTTACCCTAATAGAAAAGATTGTTTTTCATATATATTAAATATTAAAGAATATTATTCAATTTTCAATTAAAAAAAGAATATTATACAATTAATATATTTTTTAATAAAATAATGAATCAAAGGGGGGCAGAGTTATTAACCCTGGCAGGATTCTCAGTTTGGTAGTCAGACAAAGATTCTCTGATTCAATTTATTACTGCTGATCAATTCTCAATTCACGCGACAGTTGCATATACTGTCCCAGTCCCTTGGTCCACCATATTACCTTTGGAACAGGATGAATTAAATTAACGGGATCCAAATGCTTTTTCTTCTTCTTCTTGGCATAGGAAACACTACTCCATTGTGTCTTCCCTTTCAAAAGTTAATTTTTTCATGTACATTATACATTCATTGATTGCATGCATGCATGCCTGCCACATTAATGTATACAAATTTTTCATCTCACATTGACCCTACACACTTTCTTTCATGTCGAATACCATATTCCTTTTGGCGTCTCATAAATTTATGTAAATCTTGAACCATATTTAGGTGTTCTAAGCTAAATTAGGTTGTTGTAGGGCTGGGATTATTGAAGTTAAGCCAGCGTTTTCAACTTTGAGCTTTTACTTTTAAGAGCATGCGGCAACGTGTCAGAAAATTTTTGACATTTTTTCCCCTCGTATTTCTAGCCAATGCCTTTGTTATGTTTTTTTCCCTTGCTTGGTGGAATGGTTCCTACTTTTGCTGGTGCTATCCTTTGTTGGATGTGGGTCAAACTTTGGATGTATCGAGGGGCCTTCTCCAGGTGTTTTTATATCTAATGAATGCTGGCTAGCCTTTGATAAAAAGAGCAGACTCTTTGGCTCGTTTCGCTGGTCAAAATGTAATGTAATATATTATAGGGACACCGCACTGTATAATTCATCTGATTGTTAAGTGCAAAAAATAACAATTAAAGAAAACAAGTGACATTAGTGGTGAAAAGGATTGTTGTTTTCCTTAGAATTTCCAGATTTAAACAAAAAATGTATGTTATCAATTAATTAAAGAAATATTATATCATAATCACATCATATTAAAAATAATAATAAAATAGCAACTAAAAAGCTTTGAGCAAGGCCCGGACCGCTAAGCTTTTTGTTTTGGGTTGTGTCTGTGTTTACATTAGAATCTTAAGATTTCACTGAAATTAGGCCTAATGGGTTGTTCTTTCAATTACGTTTAAAACTAATAAGTGGAGTGTTAAGGCATCACGTGCTCAGGCAACTGGTTAACTGGCCCTGAGTTTGCGTTGGGATCTTGCGAAGAAGCCATTTTCCGACCGGCGTCGACGTGAGAGCAGACACATAGCGTATCGCATGGAAACACTCACCTCGCCAGCCACTGCTATGACTATCGTCTCCTCATCTTCCTCTTCGTTCTCCATATTCTCTCCTAAGCCAAAACTTGTTCCGCCCAGAATCATACGCTTTCCCACCCCTTCCAAAAGTATTCACTTTTAGCTGTTTATTTCAATCCTTTTTCCCCTTTCCTCGGCTGTAACTAACACAAATTTTTCGTTTTCTTATGTTTTAATTATCAGAGAACAGTAATGACTCTGATCTCCAGTCTGATCCTAACAACACAAGCATCGTTCCTTTCTTCGGCAATCAAACTCTCTCCCAGGTAAAACAAATCAAGTTAGTTTCTTTTTTTTATGACAAACAGTGAATCAGTATTTGTTGTGTGGGTACTTTTGAGAATTCAACATAGGATGCAGCCATGGGGCTGGTTCTGAGCAACGCGTCTGTACGAGGATGGACTACGGGATCGGGTATGGAGGGTCCGTCTATTCCCGCCGGAACCGAGGACCAACCCAATACGGAGAAAGTCTCCACCTTTCCATAGTCTTTCTTCACCAAGTCCCCACGTAGACGAATGCGCGTGGCCTTCACATGCAATGTTTGCGGTCAACGAACCACTCGTGCCATCAACCCCCACGCTTACACCGATGGCACCGTATTTGTCCAGACAAGTTTTTTTCTAACTTAGCATATTTCATTTGCATATGAGGATTGAATATTGATTCTTTTCCCTCTGGGAATTGGCGCTTATTTCTGAGTTGGGGGAATGATTTTGTGATGGTGGTGGGTTGTAGACAGTGTTGCCGATGTAATGTTTTCCACAAGCTGGTGGATAATTTGAATTTGTCTCATGAAATGAAATGCTATGTCAACCCCAGCTTCAATTATCAAGGAGACCCGCCATGGGGTGTAAGATTCAAGTTATTCAGTGAGGAAGATGACGACGGTAGTAGCAATATGTTTCCTATATAAAGTGATGGATTGAGGGCACATAAACTGTACATTTCTTTGCTCATACTAGAAACTGATTTGAATCATGTTTGTATATAGCTTATAGTCTCTTTGTGTAATTGATAACTTAGAGCTTTCTTGTCAGTTGAACTTTGTATTTATAATATTGATTACTGGTACATACTAATAAAAAAACATCAATACTATGCTTAGCATGATAGAATAGTATTTGATGTTCAGCTGAGTATTGCTTTTTTAGTGGGATATTACTCCGCACTTTCAAACTTTAACATGTTCTATGCTTTATATATGATTGTTTTAGTTTTTAATCTTATATTTGCATCATATAATGGTGTTTTCAACTCTGTGCTGGTGTATTTGTGACCCTTTTGAATTTTTAGGCGCAGTTTATCTAAAAATATTGTTAAGTTAATTTTGGCTAAAGTAATGCAACTTATAATGCATGTTATAAGTTCATTACTATTGCAACTCAAAATCAGGGTTGGCTAGAGCAGTAATGATGATCAGGTGATAATGCCCTTACAGGAACTAGTATTGACATATGATTGAGTTGGGTAGACGTGTTACTTCTTTAAATTATAATGGATTCTGCAGATGGTTATTAATGCTGCTTTCTTTAGGTATCTTATTGTCGTCGTCCAAAGAATTGGTGACACGTTAATGTCAACCACGTTAGCGCTGCTTAAGACTAATAGAATTGGGCTTTGAATTGGGTGGCAATGGCATCTCTTTCCTCTTCTAATCTTTCCTTGCGTCTCTTAGCCTGCGACACCATGCGAATTCTGTGTTAAATCTCATCAGCTTAAGTTTTAGCTGCATGGATCTCTTTTTTTTTTCCTCTTCAGTCTTCTCTGATGGGAATTCCAAGCATTTGTAATAGATTGATTTGGTTATAAATTTTTGTTAGCCTATGTGTTCTAGTTCTTGCAAAGTATGACCTACTCCAATACATTCATGGTTGTAGCTCTGCTCACAGGACTATATAGAATGATTATGTCCACTCTAGCTGCTGCACTTAAGAGACTTTTTCTACGAAGTTTTCTAGTTGGATTGAGGACGCTTCCCTCTTGTTTTAGGTCATGGGTAGCTATTGTGTTTAGGCTGTTTATGTGAGTCTTATAGTACAAAATAGTATTCCGTCCATTTCACCTTACAATTAAGGAAATCCTTATAAAGTAGAATTCTTTAACTTTGAAATTAATGGGGAGAATTCCTCTAATCCAAGCCTTGTGATATCTTCTCTTTGTAGCTGGTACAACACAAACTTCCAATACCGATAGGGCTAGAGAATATATTCAAACTCGATGTTAATCTTATCGTTTGGGAGAGGAAATGCGGAGTTTTAGCTTGTAATCTTGATGTTTCAATGCTTTTAGATTAAAAGATGCGGAAATCATTGGATTTTCGGTGAATTTTGTGGTGACTTTTAACTCTCCGAGTGATTGTTCTGTCGCTTCAAATAAAATATATTGTTGTTGCAGTGAGGCTGTGCAATGTGCATCATATTTGGGACAAGTAGTGGCTAAAAATATCAGCTCCTTGATCTCGCCCTTCACCGCTTGTTCGTCAACCGGTATGGATTAAGGTCCTGTTAAACTAAATTTTATATTTCATTTTAAAATCACAGCCGTTTACAACAATTTTTTTTTAATTTTTTTCTCGAACTAAAATTTTCAACCCAAAGAGCTAAGGTTAAGTGGAACAGTAATTGTTGAAAATTGATATTGATGCAGATGATTAAGGTAAAAGAAGTCAATCTATCATTCTATCCAGTTCAACTCTTATCCACCTCACATGTAAGGGCAGATGCCACGTCGAGGGATAACATCCGAGGCAACCAATCATATGAATCCTCAGGGGATGACCCATTTCTCCATCCTGATAATCACAAATTCCAACCACACAAATCCAACCTCTCTCTCTCTCTCTCTTTTCCATTTGATTTCCTCTCACCGCGACTCAGAACTCATCTACTTAACGAAGCCTTTGCCCGATGGCCACCGTCACCTCTGCAGCTCTCACCATCCCATCCTTCACTGGCCTCAAAGCCGGTGCAACCGCAGCTAAAGTAAGCTCCGCTGCCAAGGTCGCAGCCTCTCCCGGCCCAAGGGTCGGCATCCAGGCCTCCCTCAAAGATGTTGGTGTTGCTGTTGCGGCAACCGTTGCAAGTGCAATCCTCGCCAGCAATGCCTTGGCCCTTGAAGTCTTGCTCGGTGGCGATGATGGGTCTCTGGCCTTCATCCCCAGGGAATTCAGCGTGAGTTCTGGGGAGAAAATTGTGTTCAAGAACAATGCTGGGTTCCCACATAATGTCGTGTTCGATGAGGACGAAGTCCCAAGCGGAGTCGACGCATCCAAAATCTCCATGCCCGAGGAAGACCTACTCAATGCCCCAGGAGAGACTTATGCTGTTACCTTGACCGAGAAAGGAAGCTACAGTTTCTACTGCTCTCCTCACCAGGGTGCTGGTATGGTCGGCAAAGTCACCGTTAACTAAGTTAGAAGCTTTGTGTTTTGTTCATGTTACATCTCTAGTACTTTTTGAGCATTAGAGTTTTGAGTGTCGAGGATGCATGAGATCATCGTGAATTTGTATCTCGATATCTTTCCTTTCCTTTAAACTTGTGTTTATATTTCACTTGTAACCGGATTAAAATCTGAATCTTTTTGGAACTCGGATACTAGTATTATTTAAAGAGAAAATAATCTCAGTGGACCGAAAATACCTTATAATATACGAATTTAACAAAATTTTTTTGGATTTGTCAAAATGACCAACAAATTCACAACGCAAACTTCAATTTCGCAACCCAGTTTCTAATTTCGCAACGCGAATATGTAAATCACATTGCGATTTTCCAATTTCGCAACGCGAATCTGTAAATAGCAACGCGATAGTCAAATGCGCAGCACAAAGTCAAATTCGCAATGCGATAGTTAAATTCGCAACGCGATAGTCAAATTCGCAACGCGATAGTCAAATTCGCAACACGATAGTTAAATACGCAACGCGAATTTGTAAATCGCAACACAGAAGTCAAATTCGCAACACATAAGCCAAATTCGCAACACAAAAGTCAAATTCACAACTGAATTTCAAATTCGCAACTGAATTTCAAATTCGCAACACGAATTTAATTTCGCAACAGGTTTTAGTTTCGCAACACAAATGTTTTGGGTATATAACAACGCAACAGCAACAACTCATAATCTAAATCCCTAAATTGCAACTCATTCCATCTCCATCTATCACTCTCTCCGGCGACATCCGTTCCTATATCCAACGACATCCTTCCCCATCTCTAATCTTTGGTTACATAATTTTATTTCTATATAATTTTTCAATGATTTCTCTCCCAAATTATCAACTATTAACTTAATAAAGGTATGCTTTTCTCTAAGTTAGTGATGATATCTAGTTTATAGCTCGTTTGTTTAGTAAATTAATTTACAATTTGTAGAATGAAATCATCTAATGTTGATCATGTTTGGATAGATTTGTGTTTTGGAGGGTCATAGGAAAATGTTCATGGTGTTTTACAATATGTGCCTTTACCCATGAATCTTCAACTAAAACTGTCATTAAAAAAGTTAACTTATGAAACTCTATTGTTACGTGTTGCAAAGAAATTGAATTTAGAGTCTCTAAGTGGATTTAGGCCATCTTATCAGAGAAAATGTAAAGTTTATTTGTTAACCGACAATGAAGATGTTGAACGATTCATTGCTTACATTAGTGTTTCGCAAGAAGATGATGTTACATTGTATGTTGTTGAACCTAGAAGTAGTGAAGTTGGGTGATAACTCCTTGAAAAGATCATATTTTGGGACCTTTTCACTTAAGTTATTGAATGTCTAAGAGCCCATTTAGGACCATTTAGATGCATTTAGGAGCATATAATTGCATGTGGTGGATTTCAGTTTGCCGTGGCATTTTATTTTTACAACGGTGCTGCTTTATGGGAAAAGTACTTGTCTGATGATGTGCAGGTGTTGAAAGCAAGGAAAAGAGAATTTAAAATGCCGTGACATAAGGATATTGCTGAGCTAAATAAAAATGCCAAGTTCAAATGGCATTTCAGGAGCGTACAAGGAGAGAGAAGATATTTTCTAGCCAGCTGTCCCGGATTTTACGCATGCTCTGCCCGAGATACCCACCGCAGCATTTTGGCGTTTCAACCACCGGTTCTGTTGATGACGTTGCCTAGTCTGACCCTGCAGATCCTGTCGGTCCTAAGGCACCTGTAGCGGGATTATAGCGGTCTCTAGCCAACTACCTAGGCTGTATCATTGCCTAGTCTGCTCAACTCCCAAGCAACTCAACCATGGTTTTAGGGTTTCCTAGGATGGTTAACACCAAACCTTAGGATTTCTTTTCCCCTATAAATAGAGGAGGAAGCCATATTGAAGAGGACTTTAGTTCCAGCCACATTTGATCTTAAAAAGTTAGAGAGAGAAAGTCTCATCTTTCTCCGTCAATCCCACTTGCCATGGCATTTCTCCTTGACTAGCAGAAGGGAGTGGCGTTCTGAGCATCCGAGAGGAGCTAGTCCGCTGGGAGCAGTCCTTGGTGGCCGAGGAAGGCATTTGGCAGTGCACGTCGAATGCTTTCTCTCCTCCCCTTAGTCATTGCTTTTATATTTTTTGTTGGGTTGTAAGGAACGAATGAATCTTGCTTTGTGCTTGTTGATTTTGAGCCCCACCATGAACTAATCCTATTTGGTGGGAGTTCGCATGGTTATTTAAGTTGTTATTTTAATGAATGGTTGTTGTTTCATCTATTCTGTCTTGTTCTAATGCTTGTTTATAATGCTTAAAGTCTTGAGGTTGTAGGAGCTACGAGAGTAGCCTTTCCTTAGGAGGGTTCATGAGGTTCGAGAGAATGCCTTGGCAATTTATCTTTAGTCTTCGAGAGAAGCTAGGGAGGAACTACATAAACAACGGGTTCTAGATAGTAACTAGGCCTAATCCACCTTAGAGATAAGAATAGGATTTCATTCGACTAAAAGGAGTTGTGTATAAACGATATGTTAGATGTTAATGCTGCCGCAAAAAGGTATTGCCGAGACATATTCTATTAGCTGAGTCAATAGGATCACTGCATGGGCTTACGCCAATCGGTTTGGCCAGGGCATCTTTAGTCTGTCGAGTCCCTTACTAGAGATAACATAGGGCACATCAGTAGACTCTGTAGGGCAGGGTAAGCATAGAAGAAGCACCATTCAGAGAAATAAACTTAAGTTTTCCTTGTGTCTCCCATCACTCATTTCCATTGCTGCTTGTCTTGTGAGAAAGCTAAAGTCCTACATATATTAAATCTAGTATTTGCATTTTTATTTTGCTTTGACATTTCCATTTGTTTTCACGTATCACAATTTAATTTGCCACGACATATCCATCTGCTACCACACTATCACCACTCCATTTCTACTACGTCCATTTCATTTTGCCACTGCATTCTCATCTGTATATACCATAACTAACTTTACTTAGGTGACAAAGTAAAGTGCCCTGACAAATCTATTTGATTTCCCCAATTCCCTGTGGAGACGATACTCTACTTATCACTTTATTACTTGTTCGATTGTGTATACTTGCACACATATCCGTATCATATTTTAGTACTCACAAACAGCGGACAAGTTTTTGGCGCCGTTGTCGGGGAATTGCAACTGGAAGTTAAATTGATTTGTCATAGCATTTTTATATTACTTGTGTAAATGTTTTTTCTTTTAGTTATCTTTACTTTATATTTTCTTTAATTTTTCAGATTTTTCTAGTTTATGATCAGAAGCAACCCTGAAGAGCCATTGGAACTTATTGATCCTGAAATCGAAAGGCTCTTTAGACAAAGAAGACGAGCACAACGTGTCAATATGTACCAACTCGGAAATCAGGGCATTGGCCATGAGGGTGATCAACATGCTGAGGTAAATCCAAATGCTGGGAATGCAGCTAGGCCTCGGGCTATTCGTGATTATTTAAATCCAATCTTAGAGGATCTCAACCCTGGAATTGTGGCACCCGATATTCAGACAGCCCATTTCGAGCTGAAACCTGTCATGTTCAACATGTTAAACTCTATAGGGCAGTTTGGGGGCATGCCAAATGATGATGCCATGCAGCATATTCGTAACTTCTTGGAAGTGTGCGATTCTTTTTGCCAACAAGGGGTGCACGAAGATGTTCTGAAATTAAAACTATTCCCATATTCCCTACGAGACAGAGCAAGGGCATGGTTGAGTGGAGTTCCAGGGGGTTCTATGGAGTCGTGGACATATCTGTGCAAATATTTTTTGTTGCGGTATAATCCTCCGAACATGAACACCCAACTTAAGAACGACATTGCTTCATTCTGTCAAGCTAATGACGAGTCGATGCATGAGTGCTGGGATAGATACAAAGCATTGCTTCGTAAGTGTTCAAACCATGGTTTTCAAGATTGGACACAAGTAGTGATGTTCTATAATGGAGTAAACGCACCCACGAGGATGATGCTAGATGCCTCGACAAATGGGACGTTACTGGATAAATCACCAGCAGAGGCATTTGACATCTTGGATAGGATTGCTACCAATGATTATCAGTTTCCCTCAACTAAGCATGGGTTTGGGCGTAAGACACATGGAGCTCTCAAGCTAGATTCTAATGATGTCGTGTCAGCCCAACTTGCTGCCATTACCAACCTGCTAAAAAATTTACAAAGGCCAAGTGATGTAAGGGAAGCGAAGGCAGCCTGTTCAGTTTGTTTATTATGCCAAGGCAATCACAATGAGAGTAATTGCCCAACCAATCAAGAATCCATCAACTTTGTTGGCAATTTTAATCGAGGCAATAACAACCCCTATTTAAACACCTATAATCCTGGATGGTGTCAGCATCCAAATTTTTCTTGGGGAAATCAAGGAAACAACACTGCTCAACAGCCAGCTCGTCAGTAGAATTTTAATGATTCCCAGGGCTATCAATCGAATATGCCATGGCATAATCAAAACAAGGGAGGGACATCTTCATCAAATACTAGTTCTTTGGAGGCCACAATGCAAGAATTCATTGCAACAACAAAAACAATGCTGCAAGACCACTCGACCTCTATAAAAAATCAAGGAGCTCTACTCCAGAGCCATAGTTCATCGTTAAGGGCACTAGAGAGTCAAGTAGGTCAGATTGCCACGGCATTACAAGAACGCAAACCCGTACATTTGCCAAGTGACACTGAAGTCACCAAACTTCATAGCAAAGAACAATGCAATGTGCTAACTCTCCGAAGCGGTACACAAATTAATATAGAAGATAAGTTTGGGGGAAAACCGAAGGAAGATTCACCCCCCACAACCAGTCAAGCTGATAAAGAACTGCAGGAGGAAGCACCGAAGGAAGAAGATAAATCTGAGGGTTCATCAAGTAACAAAGCTGAGGGGGCAAATAAAAATGTCACGGTAACTTCTGTTCGCACCCCATCATTACAAGAAGTCAGACCCCCGTCTCCTTTTCCGCAAAGACTGAAGAAACATAACGAGAATACTCAGTTTAAAAAAATTGTTGACATTCTGGGTCAACTGCAGATCAATGTTCCTTTTCTTGAAGCAATGGAACAAATACCCACATATGCTAAATTTCTAAAAGAAATCGTCACCAAGAAGATAAAGGTTGAGCAGTACGAAACAATTGCCACGGCA